AAATTTTCAACAAGTTAAAATATTTATTTAAAGAAATGAAAGTTCATGCATCTTTAAAACATAAGGCACGAGTAGAAGTCTATTGAACAAATATCAATACAAAAAGAAAAGTTTGTAGAAGAGGCTTCTATTCATATCTTATGTTATATAGATGCCGAACTTTCATTTCTTTAAATAAATATTTTAACTTGTTAAAGATTTAACTTATGCTTTTTCGAAAACAAAATGAGACCTACTCATTGGAATGTATTGAGATATTGAGAAAAAGAATGAACGTGTATTGTCCATCATCAAATTAATAAAATTAGATGAATAGCCAAGTTACAAGTAAGACGAAGATGATTCTTGAATATTAAACCTTTTTTTCAAGTAAAGAATCGTCTACGATAGATGAAATAATAAAAAATTAGGGTTTTAACGTCAACGAATCACTATTTATGACATTTACAATTCGAAGTTTAAACGACAAGAACATAGTATTACTTTATGACATACAAAATCGTCTTTTGTGATAAACGCGTAATTTAGTCAATAGATCATCGTCTAAACGATGTGACATTAAACATCGTTTTAACGGTTGAACAGCGTTTCCTCAACTAACTAGGCTGATATTAGAAAAGGGTGGGTGTGGGGTGGGTGTGGGTGGGTGTATGGGTGTGGGTGTGGGTGTGGGGTGTGGGTGTGAATATGGATGAAGAGTAGATTCTTGTCTACATCCACACCCACACCCACACCCACCCACACCCACGCCCACACCCATCACACACCCACACTCACATCCACATCCTTTCGATTCTGTTTTAGTCTCACGAATATTATAAAAAGCCAACAAACACCGAGGCATTTATATATTAGATGAATGGTTATTATAGTTGACTATTGTCGTGACACAAATCACAGTCAAACGATCATATAGTAAGTATAAGTGATGTAACTCGATGAAGGCTAGAGGGCACTCAATCCTCATACAAACGATCGAGTTCTGCTAAAAAATAAGTTTGAGCCCACCACTGCATTTACATAAGATCATGAAGGTAACTAAACGTTTTTGCAATGATATCTAATTGAATAGAGTCAACTTTTTAACCATGAGTCATATGAAGATCTACAATTCATTTTTTACAATGATTCACAGATAGATGAATCATCGAGTACTATATTTAAACTTAAACAATTGAAATTGATTTTTAGATGCTTAAGATTAGGAGCACCTTGACTTAGATAAAATATTTCACATGTTTCTTTCACGTAAAGGTGCTTCAGTTGAAGTAAATATAAGATGATCGATTGATTTGATTGAAAAGTAACTACATATGAGAGAAATAATAATAATTATTAAAAAAGAATTGAAACCGAAATGTGAAAATTGGACTGTTCATGAATCGAAATCGAACGAAAATTTTTCTTGAAATAGAAAATTACAAAAAAAAATCATTTGAGGAAGTTACTATTAGAATAAAATGTAAAACATGTAGAAAAACATTAAAAAAAGGCATGTTTCTCTTTTTTGTATTTAACTGAAAACATGCACATTTGCATATCACATTAAATATTTGTAACTATTTTATATATTTGATGTATCAAAAATAATAATAATTACAATATAAAAATTCAATATCTTTACTTTGTTTTAGTGCAGCACGATCTAATTATTGATGATGATGATCGTAAAGTTAATCTTCATATATAACTCTTCATGATAGAAAACATTTCGAAGTATTTTCTTAAAATAAAACTGTTATCAGATTCTGTTTTGAATTCTTATCATTGACTTAAATAGAAAAATGTTACTTTTTCTCATTTGTGAATAAAATACCTTTCTACAAAAGATGCTCAGCTTATTGGCAGCTTTCGAATCGATCCCCGTGCTAATTATTTTAGGAATATTAAATCAAAAAATTCTGAAGTTTTATACGCTAGCTAATGTAATGCGGCTCTTAATGCAAGCAAAGTTTCAGATAGAAACTAGAAATTCGAATTTACTGAAAAAACAGGGTCCTAAACGAAAGAACTCACTAGAAAATGCTCATAGTTTTCTTTTAAGAAAATATTTTGCAATCTAGTCTATCAGCAAGGGAAAGATAGTCTAATTAATACAAACAGTGTAGAGATATTTGAGTTTTTTTTTTGTATGAATGTTTTTAGCACATCCTGTATATTACTATTCACTAGATGTGTTATCTCACGAAATTAAAAAAAAATTTTCGAAAAAACGAAACTCACATTGTAATTCGATTAAATCTTGTGCGAAGTTGCTTGTCAAAATGAAATTTAAGATCATTGAAAAACTATTACCACCAATCTGAAGTCACTTGCGTAAGTAATTCACATCGTTATGCAACAATGTGTTTTGAGTGGAATCACTTTCAACAGGTATTTCATTCATCATTTAGTATTTTGTTCAAAATCATCTAATATTGATTTAACTCTTCCAATAAAAATGAGTGGCACTAATCATCAGAAGCATAAAGAAAAACAAGCGGAATTTATTGAGAATATAAAAGCTATTGATCGTATTTTGCTTGATTTTGACCAAATAAACAAATTTCTTTCTCGGTTATCAAGGAAAATTTCAAGTTTTCATTCATAAACCGATAGCTTATTATCAAGGTTGAGATCTGAGACACTCTAACTTAATACAGAATTTTGTCTTCGTTTCTTGAGAACTTCCATATATAGTCAATCACAAAACACATAACGATATTCAAAAGAAATTTCTATTTCCATCAATCAATGACAGTATTAGGATAATACTGTAAAGTGTCGAATTGCTCCAGTATAATGATAAATATGACATTTTCAAGTGTTCTCATATAAATATAGTCATTGTTTGATGAAAACGGAGCCATTCTTTTACGAATATGATCAGCGGGAAAGCCTCTACACATAATGAAAACTATGTCAAAACAACGTTTCCAGCTACCTATGTAATTTATATTTTGTTAATTGTTTGAAGAACCTTTATTAGCTTTCAAATTTGAATATAACATTTAGTTTGTCATTATTGCATTTTTAACAGAAGAACTTTAACTTTTTTATATAATCTTCTTAGATTTTCTTTTCTACTTAGCTTTTGTCATTTTTTAGCTGATAATAATGAAAAATGATATTATAGAAATGTGATCATCTATGACATATCGTAAAGGCTTGAGATGAGATAAAAATTTTTAGTAGCTACATATCCAATTACTTTCACATCTAGAAATGGTTTGTCCGGTACATATAATCCGTACAATGGAAGATATGGTTATAAGAACAGTTATATTCTATACGTAAGTGTAACTGATTTTCATTATTCTGTTTTGTCACAAAACCGATTTCTGCTTGAAAAAGTCATTAGTATCATGTTATTCTCGTTATCTGATTTTGCCTAATTTGGTCGAAATGCACATAAACCATTAGCATGCTGTACTTCATGAAATCAAAAGAAAGTACACTTTAATTCCGTTAATATTTCAATAGCCTTAGACAAAATCATATCACATGAATAAAGTAACACTAATAGCTTTTCAAACTGAAATCGTATTGGTACTAAAACAGAAGAATTAGCCAAATATTCAAAACGTAGAATACATAGGAGATTTTTATCTAATTTTTCATTGAGAGAGGCATGACAGAGATGAAAAACCAAATCAAGAGTTACAAGTAAAGAGAAGGATTCATTGGATATTGAAATAAGTTAATATTCATATTGTCTAAACAATAAAAAAGGACTTTCGAGCAAATTTAAGAAAAATTCAAGATAGCCGACCATTTTTGAGTCTTTGTTTACATAATTTCATATATTCGTCATGTATGAGTGTGGTGTGGGTCTGAGATCAAGGTGAAGAGAAGATCAACGCCGCAACTTACACCCACACCCAAATAAGCTCTGATTGCCACAAGAGTTATAATGGATTTCCGCTCGAGATACACAGATTAACAAACCTTTGGATGCCCTGTTAGCTTGATATGATAGTGATAGTTTATCTGCTGCTGTCATAAATTAAATCTAAGAAAATATATTCCTCATAGAATCTGACAACGTGAAAACAACATTTAATAATCCGATGCTTGTTCATAGTAGACTGACGACGGGGGCAAAAAACAAGAGGAAATCAACGAATAACTATATGAAAAGCATATCTTCCCCGCCTTCAACAAAAACTGATAAACAAGAGTTACTGTCCACCTTTTCGAACGTAAGTTCGACAATATTAAACTGAATTCTGGAAAAAAAGAAGAAAAATGTACAACTACCACATTCAACTCTGACATTTACTAACCATCAACAGTCTGTCTAATATATCATTCAACCGAGTATGGTCCCTCGCATTGCACATTCTGATTCTTCGCCTCCAATTTACTTTCGCCAACCTTTATAAAGTATCGTTATTTTTTCGAAAAATCCTTCTTTTAATCCAAAAAATTAAGTTCAAAATTTTCAAAATCTGATTCCAGATCCGGATTTCTCGACTTCAATTTACTCAGGCCAATCTTTATATAATATCGCTAGTTTTTCAAAAATTCCTTCTCTTAATCCAAAAAATTTCACTTCAAAAATTTTAAAATCTGACTTCAGATTGGGGTTCCCGGATGTCGATTTGCTTTCACCAACCTCTATAAATTATCGTTATTCTCTCAAAAATCATTTTCATAAAGGAATTAGGAAGGATAGCATTTTCCGTGACCCCTCCCCTGCTCCCGTTATCAAGTGATTGGTAACGTAACGATAACTTCTCTCCGCTACCCACACCCCCACTCTCTAATATTTAAAATAAATCATAACATGAAAATCTTCGTTTTACATGTGTCTATGACGAACTGAGGAGAGTAGCTCTATCGTCACTCTTGATAATGATGTTTATTGAGCTCCTTCATCGCTCCAGTTGTGTCTATATCACTACGAACACATCTTGTCTACTAATCACAAAAGAGAAGAGAAAGAGGAACACACATCGTCAAGATCAACACTGAAAGAGGAGCCATACAGAAAAGACAAGTGAAGTGAAGTGTAACGGTCAATAACCGTTACAGTGTCCTTCATATTTGATTGTTGCAAATGCTTTTTCGAATAATGTATGTGCTGTTGTTTGAGATATAATATTACTATCAGTAACTTTTTGTAGGTTATGTTGAGTATGAATAATAGCACCTTTCTTGCTATATAAATCAGCAAGTTCAAGATGAAATAATGATGCAAAAGTTTCATAATATTTGATTGATTTATCATAATATAATATTGCTTTTTCATATGTCTTTTCTTTCGAATATACATCTGCGATATACGAATGAATTTTTGCAAGATGATTTTTTTGCAATTCGATAGAATAATTTTTAAAAAATAAATGTTCTTCTTCTTGCATTTCCATCTGTAAATCTGTTATTCTTAGGAATTCCCGAATATAATTTATTAATTCATCATATGAATAATTTGATTTGAGAATATGATTGATTTTCAATGTACACATTACTTCAATATTACGGTCAATTCCTATGCTTTTTCGATAATCATAAATTTCTAATGCTTTCGCATAATAAAACAAATTATTCTCATCATGAGAATCACCCATTGTAATATAGTTATCAAAAATTGTTCCCAAGATAAATTTTTTCAGATGACTTTCATTGTTATTAATGTTTTCTTCTATCAAATATTTCACTTGTTCAGTATAATTTGACTTCAGAATAAAATCGATTGACTGGAAAAAGAAAATAATGTCCGATCGAAACAATTGTATGAAATCTAAAGAAAAGTTTAAAGCTCTAGTGTACCAATATAATGCTTTTGTTTTTTGGCAATGTGGTTTTATAAATAATCTACATGTTTGAATTTGACTCTTTCGTTGAAGTTCAAATTTGAACATATTAATATAAAATTGTGTATCAGAACCAAGTTTTTCGCATTCTGAGGCACTTGCTTCCAAATATGATAATGCCATATTAAAGTTATTTCGTTTGAAATATTCCATACCTATTAACAAAAACCATGTGACCTTCTTTCTTGAATCATTGATCAATTTGAGAGTTTTTTCCAAATATTCTATAGCTAATTCTGAATTTTTCTTTCTGATATGTATATGAGCTATAATTTTATGACAAGATTCATTATTTGAAACGTGTAAGAGTGATTTCATGCAACAATCTAATGCTTGATCATAATCAAGATATTCGAAACATTCACGGCCTATACTTGCATACAGTTCAGCAATGAGTTTCGATACAATTTGATTATCTTGGCAATATTTGAAATAATGATCTAATATGTTAATAGAGTTATCTCTAGTTGCCTCATGTTCTAAACCTAAAAGTTCGCTACGACAATATAATATAGATAATTCTTCATTTGTTTGTTGATATATATTTAATGCATTTGATAGGTATTCTTTTTTCGTCATTTGTTGTGATAAATATTCTTTTTCCTTATTTTGACTTTCGAAAATAGCCATCTGACAATAAGTAGCAGCTATAAAAGGTAGTTTTATGATATCTTTCATTTCTAATACTTTATTAAAATAATTCATCGATTCTACATAGTTTGATAATTTGCCATATATACAACCAAGAAAATGATGACATGTTGCCAAATTTATAGGATCATGATTTACTTTCAATGCTTCAAGAAAATATTTTTGTGCTTGTTCGTAATTATCGATCTTGTAATACGTAAATCCCAAAGCTCGTAATGACCATTGAATAGAATCATCCGATGTATAATTATGAAAAGCGTGAAAATATTTTATCGCTTGTTTATAAGCATTTGTGTACTCATCAGTATATGGATTATCTGGATTAAGTTTACGACACTCTCTGGCATACAATGAATTCGGATCGATACGAGGGAGATCGCATCCTTCGATACAACACTTGCTTGCCGTTTGATAGTTTTCATCATTAATTGAAGTCTTTAAAATAAAATCTTCAAATGCATCTAATCTTTTAAGAGATTTATCAATTTTTACAAGATATTCAGCAAAATTAGCCGGTGGTGGGTCATGATCAATTTGATCAATTGTTTCTTGTGAAGCATATTTATATAAATAAGCATTATTTAATTGTATCGAAGATACATGATGAGGTTTATCTGAGATAATCATTTTAATTGTTCGATTATTATCATTAATGCTAATAATTTCAAATGTTGCACCGAAATCAAATAAATATTCATACTCTTCCGGAAAATTAGATTCTTCAGCTATGTTAGCGAAAATTACTGTATTATTGTTCAACGACATCAGATCTACTTCAATAAGAAACAATGCGGTTACTAGATCTGTTTCAGAGGAAATTTGGTTATCGGCGGTTTCATAATACAATTTTGCCACTTCAATATTAGATGACGTTGAAAGATAACTATTGAATGTTACATATTCACATAAACGAAATCGACTATATTCTTCCTTTGTAAATTTGTGTCCACGATAGAGTGTAAGTGTTTTTTGTTCAGATGACGACGACGAAGTTTTCAACTTTTCGAAACCATCTTTCAGTGATTGAGATAAATCGACAATATAAAAATGAAATCTTTCTAGTAATTGTGGATCTTGAATTCGAAATGTATGATTCATAAGTCGATACACAAATGAGTCGCGTGTATAGAAATAAATAGCGTGACAAGGTGATTCGTAATGTTCATTGAAATAGTCGATGTCTGACAATACTTTCTGATTACCCTGATAATAGAATCGACAATAATCAATGAAATTTTGTTTTGATTGTGGTGTTTGTGGCATTCTCAGAATAATATTTTTGATTAATTGTTGCTTTTTAAAATCATGTGCATATACTGCATCTAAATGAGTTTCTTGTTTCGTGTTGTTTTTCATTAAACTAATTAGTGATGGATTTTGAAGAAAAGAGCGAATAGCTTTTTTTAAACATGTAACAAGTTGTTCTTGTTCAATACAGATACCAATAACTTTACTGTAATCATTTAATAACGATTTATAAGCTTCTCCATTCATGCAAAATATGCATATGATTTTGACTTGTTTTAATTCATGTATTCGTGGAAGAAATGTTGTTGAACTTGCACCAAATATAACCATGAAACTGTTATCAGTATGTATTGAATTGATATAGTGAACGCATTTTTCTTCATCATCAAATAATAGAACATAATCATTAACAGAACGCAACGCTTGTTTTGTATTGATAATATCTTGATTTGTCAATCTTAATGATGTATCATACCATACCAAAGTATTACCTTCCTGATTTTGTGTTAAAATTTCTCTTGATGGATTAATAATATCAATACTTTGAACAGGTTGAGAACTATTTTCTATTAATTGGAAACGAGACATTTTGTGTATCTGTATCAATAATATATATTTTCAATCTAAAAAACATTGTAACACATGTTGATAAATTATGCGTCAAAGTCTTGTACAAACAGCGATAACTACAATTTATTTTAATCTATTAATGAATCGTAGCCAGCAATTGTTTTTGAAATTTGCCAGTTGTTGATAATAGCTTTCGCTATGTATTGTTTTCATCAACAAATACTTAAATCATTATCTTTTCTGAATTGACTCTTGAAAATGTTTGTCCGACTATCAGTTTATCCACTCAGCTACATAAATAAAATTCAAGTATAATGTAGAACTGCTCAATATAATGATTCAAAACTGTTCATAGGTTATATGTTATAGAATTAGAACGAATTTCACAGTGGAACTCTTAAATCTTTTTCCTTGAAACACTTTTTTTTTTGTTTGTGTACTTTTTTTGAATCATCAACAATTGATTCTACGTAATTAATTAAATGTTGTCAAGTTTTCTTGAGAAAACGCACGTTGAAATTTCTGGTGATTTATGCTATATATGCAGAATTCGAAGCATTATGTTCTTATATTAGTACCTAAAACTATTTATAAAGCTGATTGCGTCACTGTCACAATGTCAATTATCATAAACAGAATCTCATTTCGACTTCTCTTCTCCAAGACTTAGCTAGTGTAATTCAAATCTTGTGTCTTCATTCGAAATGATTCTACTTTGACAGGTATAACAAAGAGAGTAAAATTAATTATCGATATACAGATAGTGTGACGCTTTCTTTTATGTATTCCACTAGGCAGATAAATTAGCCGAATAGAAGAACAACACCTATTTGCCAATGTGTGAGTACACAAAGACTTACGTACTCGATGGAATCGGTGAAAATAGAAACCAAAAGATGAAGACCTAGAAGCATAATAGTCGTAAATAAATGAACTAAAGAAGCATATTAGTTGGATAAAAAGATGTGCCTACAGTTCTGAAATGTTTAATATGATATTCATATATATGGTTTATTCGTTTTTCAACCTATCGTATTTATTTTACAGTTGTTTTGTAAAAACTTTATAATAAAAAAGTTAGGTTGATTGTAATACTACATACTGATGTTAATTACTCTTATATTGCTATTCTGTCATTTACCGAAATTTTGAAAACTTATTGAATAAAAAGACAAAAGTCAATTATATCTAAAGTGATAATGATAAGAAAAGATATTTACGATTTTTGAAATCATGAATTATTGTCGTCGTTGTTGTAAATTGAGAGAAAATCTTAGCTTCGATCAGCTAATCTAGTCAGTTGACGGAAAGGCCTTGTAGAAGAGAAAAAATAAAATTTATTCATCAGAATGTGCTTTAAAGTCAAGGTCGAGAATGTATGAATCGTTGCCTATGCTGTGTCTTTATATTGTCGAAAGGAAAATATTTGTCTTCAACTTTTTTTCAGTGTATTGTTCGTTCTTTTTATTTCTTTATATTGAGAACAAAGAAAACGGCTAACTAAGTAAAAACAGATTTACAAGTGTCCATATGTTGCTACTCATGAAAATAGTGAATCTTGAAAAAAAAGTAGAGCGAAGAATGTTACCGAATGAAAGAATCATCACTAGTCTTTTACATCAGTTGATGTGAATGTGGGGGAGCGTGTTGGTGGTTGTTAGTCTTCTCTTCATTAACATCCACACCCACCCACACTCCATCCACACCTCACACTCCACACTTCACCCACACCCTCTCTTCATTCAGACCCACATCCACTTAAGAGAATTATTAGTAAGTTTTTTTCATACACAATAAGACCACATTATGAGTTTGGTCTTTGGAAATGTATCATTAATCCTATTTTTTTGATAAAGCAAAAATTCTCTTGATCATTCGATTATTCGAAAAAAAGAATATTATCTACATATTTTTTTTTTTTGTATTATAATATAATTATTCGTATCAAAAGAATTACACAAAATTAAACATTCATAATTTTCAGTAACAAAAGAGAAAAGATTTTTTTTTTTTTTGAATAAAATTCATTCTCTTTCTTTGTTCAAATAATTAATCATCGATTGAAAGTTAACCATTTCGAGAAAGATCGTCTTGGAAATAATAATATTAAAATTAAACTAATCACAAAACAGATTCCATAAGCTGCATAAAAATATAATGATATATATCGTCTTGGTGTTGAAAGAATAGCTAAATGAGCCGTTTTAGTAGCTAAATAAATATTTGAAAGAAATAAAATATTTTATTTTTATAATCTATTTTATTAAATCTTACCACTATCAAGTAAAAGAACAATATATCCAATTCTATTAACACCCATTCGATATGAACATGTTGGTACTGATATTTCATAAATAAAACGTTTTTGATCAAGATTTATTGAAACAATTGATTGTGGTATATATTCTCGTGCTATGATACGATTTGTCATATTAATTCGATCGTATACATATACAGAAAACTAGACATGCATATATATATACAAATTCTTTTTAGTTTATTGTCAAATTAATTTACATACATGATGACTATCACCTTTGAGGATAAGATTTGGTTCTAATTCATTTATAAATGGTTTAACAAAACGAGCAGGACGTGTTAATAAAGGCCAATGATTAAGTACGATACGGAATGTTGATGATAATGGACGATTTTGTGTTTGTTCCATAATTGCAGCACGTTTATCATCTACATATGATTCGAGCATATCAATATCCAACTGAAATTAAATAAAAATAAAAATAAACCACAACTTTAAGAAAAAAAAAAACTAGTATAGATTTTGTTTTTTCAACGATATACTTTAAGATATTCAATATTATTTTGACGATATAAAGCAATAGTTCGACCAAAATAATTTCGAAAACGTTGTCTTAATATTGGTTGTTTATCACCATAATATTCACCACCAACATCATTATCACCCGGAATAACAATACATTTTTGTTCACGATTTTCATATTGAAATATTGAATCAAAACGATCAAAATATCGTTTAAATTCATCATCTGATGCTGATAAACCTTCATCAAATATGTCACCCAAAAAAAGAATCCAATCTGGTTGTATATATTGATTTGCTTGAGAAAATGTTTTAGCCAGATACCTATAGAAAAACAAAATCATATTATTAGAATAATCGAAAGATTAAAATAACAATTCAACCCAATGTTCTATATCTATCATATAACTTCTTCATTTTATATTATCGAACGAGTATATCCTATTCAATCAGTAAAATGTATAATTAATTGGAATACAAATTATATCCTTTGCTGTTCGTTAGTGAAACTCGATCAAAAGCATACGAACGAAAAACCTGTTTGATCATCATCGAACAATTTATTGTAATTGAGAACAAGCTGTACAAGTGAATTTATTGTTAAGGAAGGAAAATGAACTATCGATAAAAACTGAATAATGTATTATCACGATGAAAAAAAAGCATGCATGTATATATTCACAATTATGATATTTGTTAGTAGCATTGTATTTCATTCCAGTGTCATCAGCAACAAGCAAGAATATAATTAGTAAAATTTATTGGATTTTTAGCAGAAGAAAGACACCAAGTGAATTTTCTGTTACTCATCTTTTTGTGAAATTTGAGATGACCTCTTTTATTTTATTGATGTTTATGAGAGAAATTCAACAGTATACTTCTTCATATAAAGTAAAAAATTGTTAAAATAGTTTATTCAAGATGAAATCTTTTAATTTTATCCATTGTCAATCAACTTTTTATATGTAATTAATTAATAACTGATTTTATGATAAATTATATCATCCAACGATCATTTCGTCTATGTTACTGACGACATAAATGAAACACATATTATAATATAAAAAAGCTCATACCTATCAGCATCCTTTCTTGTAATTAATCCAAAAAACCCTTCATCTTTTTCACCAATTAATTGTGGATCAGCAACAAGAAGAAGTTTTTCAACAGTAGATCTATAAAAACATTCAAAATAAATAATTTTCAATTAACATATATACTTCAGAAAGCTTTTAATCCATTAAAAAAAAAGACTTATTCTTATATATTCAGGCAGCTTTAAGACTAAATGAAAATCAACCATCATTTATCTTAATATAATCTTTAATCATAATTCGCAAAATCATTACATACGAATAAAAGATATTTTTTTTAGTTGTGTTTTTCATGAATTTATTCTTACTTTCTTGCTAACGACTCGATATCTGGCCAATGAAACCGATACCATTCATAAAATAAAACTTCATTAATAAAAATTGTCAATAAAGCTGTAATAATAAAAAATCCATATCGTGTTAGGATACATCGTTTAAATCTTAAGAAAATAAAATCATTCAAATGAAATTCGTCAATAGATTTTTAATAATTTACTTTGTAAAAAATCTTGATCGAATATATAAACTATTTGATAAATATCTAGATGATATTTGTAATCGACGCATTTCAGGTTTTAATTCTGCATTCTCAGATAATCGATGACGATGAACTAACATTATATTTTTTTTCTAACATTATTTAATTAGATTAGAATCTGAAACTAGATCATATCATCATGTTTATCAATAGAACAAAACAAAATAGAAGACACAAACAATGTATAGAAAATAAAATAAATTCAATATATATAGAACCAAAAAAAAACACTCTTCTTTAATCACTATTATTTTTTTCATAAATCTTTTTTAAACGTTCAATTGCATCATATAAATCTTTTGAAAATGTTATTGATGTTTCATTTATTCGTAATGATATACTATACATTTCTTTATAATCTTCATATATGACTTTTTTATTATTTGTTATTTTATATATTTTAACCATTTCTTTAAGAAATGTTTGTATACGTCCATTTAATATTGATAAAAGACGTTGTGCTTCTTGTGAAAATGTTTCATTATAATCATCAGGATCTGAACTTGTTCGATGTTGTTCAATAATACCTACACATTCTTGACATTGAAATGATGCACGTAAACCTTGTTGAGAATATTTCAAACGTGATGAATTATCTGTTGCA